CAGAGCATTTATCTGAATAACCATCCTGTTTGAAATTATCAACTATAGAATGAATTGAGATTCTAGGAGAAAGATTCTTCTGTACTTCATAAATAATTGGCTTCAAGTTTTTGGGACATATATTTCTAAGGATCGTAGACTTAAATTGTTCATCTGTTGAAGGATTTGGAATTGAACCCGTGGAAGGAATACTAAAATTTTGAATTCCTTGAACAACAGAAGGATCTGTGGGATGAAATAAATTGGGATTGTACATCTTCATAGTTTTATCATGCTGAGTTTTTGTAATATTGGATTCCCATGGGTCTAAAGCATATACTTGACTCACTTCAGAAGATTGATTTCCATTATTGTTCAGTAAATCTGTACTCATAATTGGAGTATTTACTTGATTCAGTGGACCAGATTCAGTGTTCACAGACACCATATTTGCTAAAATTACATTTTGTGGAGCCAATCCACCATTATCATACAGATACTCCATGTTTCCAAGTTGATAACTATTTTCCTTAACAATATTGTCTTTTTGTTGATTATTATTAATAATAGACTGTTGCAAATCAAATTCATCCAAAACTTTTGCAATTTCTTTGGGATCCGTATTATTTAAACTTCGATTATTGAGAATGGGTTCATAATTTCGAGAAATTGGCAGATCTTTTGTTTGATTGCATGATGTAGCAAAATTTGGAGCATTTATATTCTGTTGTGGTTTATATTGGATGTTTCTAGCTTGTTCAGTAAGCCTTATTTGTGGTGTATTTTTTAAACTATTGAATGTGCTTTGATTGATATGAGGAGTTCTGGATATATTTTGGTTCACTATTCGATGAGGATCAAAGATTCTTTGAGGTTCTGAATAAGTTTGTGGTGTTCGGAGTCCTGGAATCTGTGAAGGCTGTCTATCTGAAAAATTGCAAAGTGGTTGGCCATTGATAAAAGCCATTGGTCCATTGATAGTACCATTAGGAATGCTCTGACCATTGCCATTTATGAATTGATGGGTATGATTACCTAATTGTATATTATGAATTAGGTGATTATTAGGTGAATATTGAATATTCTGAAGTTGAGAAGGACTATTTTGATATAGCAAAGATGGGTGATAATTATCTGAGTCACTATGTACTTGCAATGGAGAAATTCTTTGATTTGTTTGACGTGGCCCACCATTTGAATTTAGAAGTTTGTCAGAGCTGGTATTTGCCATATTGAAATTAACATAGTCATCTACTGAAAACTTCCCAGCTCCATTTTTCCTCGGTCGAACATATTTTCCACATTTTTCCATAAACATACTCAACTTTGATTCATTCAAATAACGTTCCATCTTTTCGTCATCACTAAGCTGTCTTGTGTTGGATATTTTATCCAATTTCTTTTTTACAGTCATAAGAACCTCAAAACATGATTTTAGTTTCTCGCCATGTGCCTGAAGTCTACTCTCTGTAATACTCTGTTGAGCATGAGAGAAATTTGGGTATGGGAAGTTTTCGTGAGGGTTTTGGAATTGAGAGTTTCCCATTGAATTTATTGTCTCAGTTGGAGAATGTCCTTTGTTAATACCTATTCTTGGACTCACATTTGTGTCTTTTGATGCTCCTAAATTAATAGGATATTTAGACGGCATTCCAAAACTATTTATCGAAATATTTGAATTCTGGTGTGTCATCACATTATTCAAGTTTCCGAATGGCATTTGATTTCTCATATTACTTTCTGAGTTCTGATTCAACTGTGTATTTATAGGTATGTGGTTTACTGGGTTGGGAGTATTTTGATTTGTAAACCCCAAGTGATTGTATCCATCTCTCGAAATCCCTGAATTTTGAAGCTGTATACTATTCTGGTGATTGTTTAGAATTCTACTTGATATTCCATTGGATACTTGGTCGTTCTGTTCATTGTAGTTTAGGGTAGTTTGTTTATTTCCCTGATAAATATCTGTTTGGTTGTTTGGTGAACGATTTCTTCCATTCAAAATACTTTGTTGTTTATATTTATTACTTTCATACAACTTTTTATTATAATTTTCACTCATTTAATTATTGGGGTATTTAAAATAAGTTAACATCGAGCAAACAATAAACTTCAGGAAGTAAAAAACAGGAGCTCAGACAGCAAGTCTTCGTTACTTAAAGATTCTATGATGTCAACAGCCATCTTAATGAAATTCTGAATCCTGCATAAATAATGATAAGAAATAGAAGATAATTAGATAAGCTTTTATATACATACAAATTTAGATTCATCACAAAGTGGTATTATTGGACTTCTTTTAGATAAATAGCTCTTCTATTGAAACCTACATAACTTTTAACATTCAGCTTTTAGTAGCTTCTATTTTTTAGAATTGATCAATTTATTGATGATATACATTATAATCAATACAGAAGCTTCCTGTACAAGATTCATCAATTGGTTACATGAAACAGTTTAGATTGTTAGATTTTTCAAGTGAACACTATAGTTTTGAACAATTTGTCAGTTTTTAATGATATAGTAGTTCATTGTTTGATATTTACACTAGCATACACTGCACTTTGACTTTGAAAAGTTTTAGTCAGTTTTTTCTTTTTCAAAGTTTTAAAAAATAACTAATTAGAGAAATAAGAGAATATTTGGAACTAGTCTTATAAAAATATAGAAAAAAGAAAATAATAGGATGGATTACATATAAAGGAAAGCTATTTCACATACCAATCATGAGTATCAAGCTTTTGAATAGATATAAAAGCAGACAAAATTGGTATTGAATGATATTTTGTGACTGATGGAAAATAATACAGCCAAAAAAGCATCTTCTGTTATTTTATTAAATTAGAGAGCCAAATAGGAGTAATTCTTACAAAAGTTACAATTTAAATAGTTTAGTGGTATAGCTAAGTCTTCTATACAAATAATTTTGATTACTAGGGACCAGGGTCTTTAGGCATTCTTTTAACTTGTAAAATAAGTATTATAATTTAATTGATAAGTTTATACCATTTGATGTATAAGTATTTTCGTAATCTCAAAGCCATATCCAGTATTTTTAACTTGAAGATTTGGTATTTGTAATTTTGAGAGTAAAAGCATTAGACACATTTAACAGAGCCTTTGCTAGAGGAAATGATTTTTTGATCTCTTTATTAGTTTGAATTCCAATCTGGTGATAACCCTAATCTCGTCCATATTTGATAGTATATTTTTGACCTTATCAACCAAATTTTAATAATTAAAATTCTATCTATAACCTTACTAATTGGGACTATGAATCAGTATAATGTTGATTTCCATCCATATAATTGTGGATAACAAGTAAATATACAGATAAATTCATTTTAAGTTAAGAATTAACCAATTTGAATAAAGTAATAACATTCCTAAATTTTATTGAGCCATACTTATTAAAAATTGTAGATAGATTGATATGAAGTACTTATTTGTCAGTTACAATTTACAAATTTGTTTCAGATTTATTTCTTTTTCTAATATTTATTGTAAAATAAACCGTACCCTCAAAATGGTTGGTTCTGGAATTGGATCTTCCACGGCTAAAAGAATTATGAAAGAAATTGCAATTATGCAAACAGATGCACCTCCAAACATTAGTGCGGCTCCTATAGACGATAGTGATATGTACAAATGGCATGCAATTATATTTGGTCCAAAAGAAACACCATATGCCAATGGAGTTTTCAAGTTACAGATTGATTTTCCGGCTGACTATCCATTTAAACCACCGCGTATAGATTTTATAACCAAGATATATCACTGTAATATTGCAAACAAATATCTCTGTTTAGATATTCTGAAAAACCAATGGAGCCCTGCATTGACAATAGACAAAGTACTTTTATCGATAGTCTCTCTTTTGAATGAACCTAATCCGATGGATCCTCTCAATAAAGATGCAGCCGAAAAATATATTAAAGATATTGAAGAGTACAACAAGACTGCACGCGAATGGACAAACAAGTATGCTACGGAAGAAGCTGTTTTCAACAATAAAAAAGACCTTTGAAGTTTTAAAAGGATTTTGGAATACTGTTGGAATTTATTAAAATATAAATCTTATTTTAAAGCTGATATACGTATATATATTTACAAATCAATGATCTATCAAAATATTTTCCTTATAAATTATTAGTTTAGTTTCTTGTTTTATAATTAAAGTATGAAAGAATCTATAGTGTTTAGGCAATTTAGATTTCCCTTATCGTTTTGTTATTCAATTGACTAGTTTATAGTTTCGTTTTAATAGAAGTCTGAAACCAGACAGGATAAATTTCGGCAAATAATAAAAAAACATATTTTGTTAAACGATACTCAAGGCTTTATAACAAAAATTCTTTAGTTTTAAGATTGGAGTATGTCGTTTTTAGCATTCTAACAAAATTAATATCTTTACCAACTTTTTACTTTGTTTTATATGAATTTATACAAGTTATTAAAAGAAGAATAAAATGCTTTAAAAAATAATCCCCAAATGCTTAAAAACGATGCAGTCATGGATTTGATTGCGGAAATGAAGCAGACATCTATAAAGCCATATAATACTTTTCACACAAATCAGATTCGAGAGGAAATGGAGTATATGGACAGAAAAATGCAGCAGCTTCATGAAGAGGCACAATCTGGGATATCAGACGAAATATCAATAAACTATGCCATACTTCATCTACATAGAGAACGTAACTTAAGACTAATACGAGCATACCATTTTAACCGATTACTTAAAATTCAAGAAACATATTTTACAAAAGTGAATATTCACCATTTAATTAATACATCTGAATTAGATTTCACATGCGCCTATAAAAACATCTTGGATGAGTACTTGAATAATTTTGAAGGAATGGATTTTTACAATAGACACATTCCCATGGAGTTTTTTGTTCAGGTAATTCCCCTGGAAGACTGTGGAATAATCATGAGTGGAGAAGAGTTTATTGATTTGAAGAAAGATAGGCTATATTATTTAAAGAAGTCTGATATCATACATTTGATAGATAACAATGCGGTAAGAATATTGTAGGGAAAATAGTTGGAAAAGAGTAGTTTTTTATAATGAAAATCTGAACTTCCTCATGTATTGTAGTGGATAAACCACCATAGCTATTTATAATAAAGATATTGTATTAACTTTACTCAAATCATCTTTCTAATATTTTGTTACTGGCATTTACAAACAATTAGCTAATAGTCTATGACTTCTAATAGATTTATTTTAAAGATCAATTTTAGGAGATTTAGAGACTATAAAATCCATAATTAACTTTCATATAGTTTTAAATTATTAAAATTAGGATTTGTTAATACTCCATTTATTCCGAAGAAAATTCTATACTGAATCTCTTGAGCCCAGTTATATTCTAATTTGTACTAAAATCATTTACACTGAAGTTCAAACTGAGATTTAAAGGCATTAATGTGATGAAAATACTTTGAAATATATAATTTCTTGATTAAAATTGACTTTCCTCCATATTATTTATCTTAAACTATTTGACTCTGAGAACAAAAATTTAATAGTATACTTCACTAAGGTTTCTCTAAATTCTATATTCCCTCCATTTTTATAAGAAAAATTTAAGATTTTTTTAACCCATGGAAAGTTCTTTGGATTACTCTAATTACTTTAGTGTCATCCCAGGATATGTACGGGAGTTTAAGTTGGACAAAATTGATGTAGACAAGTTTTTGGATAAAATTTCCACGGGAATGGCTTCTAATATGTCTAAGGAAGATATGGCAAAGTATTGTAGTGAGATGGCAGCATCAATGTTTACAGAACATCCTCAGTACATTCAACTTGCAGCGGTGATTCTTACCTCATATCATTCCTCAGTTACTATAAATTCCTTTTCAGAAAAAATCAAGTTGATTCAGAAGAGAAAAGATATTATCAATGACGATATATTCCAAATCATTATGGACAATTCAGAAACGATCGATCAAATGATTGACTATTCAAGAGATTATACAATCAATTATTCTGGTATGACAACGCTTCTCAGATCATACATGATAACCATAGATGAAGTAAGAATCGAGAGACCACAGGATGTTTATATGAGAGTGGCTCTACAGCTACATCGCAATGATTTTGAAAATGTCAAATTAACTTATGATTTACTGAGTTTTCAGTATTATACTCACGGCACACCTACGCTTTACAACTCCTGTTTTAAAAAGTGTCAACTAGCCAGCTGCTTTTTGGTGGCAAATAAAGATGATTCTATAGAAGGATTATTTTCCACTCTTACAGATATGGCCGTTATCAGTAAGCTATCTGGTGGACTTGGTCTTCATATGCATAATGTCAGGTCAAGAGGTTCAAAATTGATTCAATCTGGTGGAGCATCCAAGGGTATTGTTCCAATGATTAAACTTATCAATGATTCATTAAAATACATTAATCAAGGTGGTGCTCGTAGAGTTAGTACTATTGCTATATATTTGGAGCCATGGCATGCAGATATATTTGAATTTTTAGAAATTAGAAAGAATACAGGTCTTGAGGAACATAGGGCAAGAGAGATATTTCAAGCACTTTGGATTAATGATTTGTTTATGGAAAGGGTGGAAAATGGAGATGAGTGGAGTCTTTTCGATCCTAATACAGCACCAGGACTTGATGAGGTTTATGGCAATGAATTTAGACATTTATATGAAAAGTATGAAAAAACAAAGAGCAGAAAGATAGTTTCTGCTCAGAGTTTGTGGAAGGCAATTATAAGCTCCCAAATTGAAACGGGTACACCTTACATGGTGTATAAGGATAGTGCCAATCGTAATTCTAATCAGAAAAATATTGGAATTATCAAATCTAGTAATCTCTGTGCAGAAATAATGGAGTATTCCTCATCCAATGAGACAGCTGTGTGTAACTTAGCTTCTGTATGCCTGCCTAAGTTTGTAAGAGAAGATAAAACATTTGATTATCATAAACTGAAATATGTTGCTGGTAAAATTATTGAATGTTTAAATAAAGGAATAGACACCACAGTATATCCATTGGATAATTGTCAGAAGAGTAATCTTGATCATAGACCAGTTGGACTAGGTGTGCAGGGATTAGCTGATGTATTTATTCTAATGAGATATCCATTTGAAAGTCAAGAAGCTAGGGAAGTGAATAGACTTATTTTTGAGACTCTGTATTTTGCAGCACTTGAATCATCATGTAACTTATCCAAAATTCACGGCCCTTATAATTCATTCTGTGGAAGTCCATTATCACAAGGCATTTTTCATTTTGAAATGTTTTCGCCAAATCAAAAGATCAATTCAAACTATTGGGATTGGACAGCACTAAGGGCAGATATTTTAAAGTATGGTGTCAGAAATTCCTTACTTCTGTGCTGTATGCCCACTGCATCTACATCACAAATTTGTGGGAACTCTGAATGTATAGAACCAATTACAAGTAACATCTATACAAGAAGAACTCTAGCTGGTGAATTTCAGTGTGTAAATACTCATTTGATGAGTGATCTAATCAAATTGGGATTATGGAACAATGAAATGCGTAATTTGATTATTGAACGTGATGGATCCATTCAAAACATTCCAAGTATTCCCAAGGAGATTCAGGATCTTTATAAAACGGTCTGGGAAATTAAAATGAAGAGTGTTTTGCAGTTGTCTGCAGATAGACAGGCCTTTATTGATCAGTCTCAATCCTTAAATCTTTTCGTTTCAAAGCCGACATATGCATTGCTATCTTCCATGCATTTCTATGGATGGAAATTAGGATTGAAGACAGGAATGTATTACTTAAGAACAATGCCATCCGCTAGTGCAATTAAGTTTACAGTCAATCAAGAGCTTATTAAGAGTCAGCTTAAATCAATAAGGGATGATGAAAGTCGACGGAGTAGTGTAAGTATTGATAATGGGGCTTGTGAGTCGTGTTCCTGTTAAAAAATAAATTTATTTTCTTTAAGTTTGACTTGCTTCTGCTGGATATCATATTCTTTGAAGTGTAGGAGCTATGATTAAAAACATAATTGATCAATATGAGTTCTTATAGTAGGATTGTTTTGGCATTTGTAGTTTATTACATATCTAATATAGAGTAAGATATTAGTTAGTAAAACAACGTGTTCCATTTAAAGAAACCAAGCTAAAAATTAATTCGATTATTTTCCTGGATAATATCAAAATCTTGTCCAATCCACTCTATTATGTTTTCTGTTGTAAGATGAACATCAGTTAAATCATAGTTGCATCCATTAACGAATATAACTTGAAGTTCGTTAAAATACTCTTCAATTTCTTCTCCAACTACGTTAAATGCCTCGCAATCGATATTCTCTTCGATTTTAACTGTAGAATATCCCCTATCTTTCAATCTTTCACGTAATGTTTGAAAATCAGATCGCAGCTGAAAGATGTAATCAAATTTAATATCTACGGCAACACAGGGCGAATGGGTATCTACAACGAATGAAGACATGTTCTTAATGAATTCATTCAATTCCCTAGCAACAAATTCTTCATCAAATTCATAAGTATCAAATTTTTCGTTGTAGTTTTCAAATATCTTTCGACTTTTGATGAATTTTGAAACATCAATGTGTTTTATGCTAAACTCCCTTTCAATTTTTTTCGCAAGTGTCGTTTTTCCAGTCCCTGGAGTGCCACAAATCAAAATTTTCATGGATAAAAAAATTATAATTTTGAAGAGTGAAAACAACCTAAGTAAGGCTGGTCAATGTGATGGCCATATTACCATATTAAATCTTTAAACTTTCGATTAGATCATATTAACATCACCATCAGATAGAGGTATAATTTATATATTTACAGATGTCAATACTTACCAGTAATTATGCCTTAATCAATAAATACATCATTAGATATTTATAATTTTGAATTCTTAGTCTTTCAAAATCTTCTCTTTGTTACATTACACCATCATTTATATCTTGTCAGTAGTAATATACCTATCCATTAATGATTTTTACAGTCTTGTTGTGGTAAAATAACAATAAACTTATTTATTTAAATCAATTTCATCCTAATCTTCATCAACTAATACCCTAATTAATATCCAATTGCAGAATATAGCTATTACTGACAGAAATATTCTTTTTAATGATAAACAAAGTACTGTTATTTAGATTTCTACAAATATTAGTTGGAAGACTTTTGTGTAAGGATAAATTTTCAAAAATTTCCTAGTCCTATGAATCGGAAAAGAAAATTAGTTGATGATAATGGAAAAATAATTTGATCAATGAAAATCATTCTAAACCAAAAAACATCTTATTTTAATCATAAGATAATTTTCTATTTTAGGTTAATTTAAGAACTTAAACATAAAGGAGTTATTAATGAATATAACTAAACTGAAATATAAATTATTTTAAAAGGCCTTCTTATACTAAGATGAATATTGAGATTGAAAAACTATGTGATAAAGTCTTGTCAATAAGACTAAATGACAGCGGTGAAGGTGCAGACCTCGATGCGATGAAGACACTCATTGCAGACCACATATTTGACGCCAATTGTACAATAATTTTAGTGTCAATGTATGCACTCATTGACATTTTGAGTGATGACGCGAAAGATTTTTGTGATTTACTTCGTGATGAGCGCAATCATGATGTTCTAATAACAAAACATCACTATCTGATGCAAACGCTTACATTTGATGGCATCGATTATATTATAACAAGTGTATACAACGTGCCAAAACATGTTGTCCGAGATTTGATCACAAGTGCAAAATTTATTTGGGGAAATGCCTATTTGATACGCAGCGAGAATATTATCGATGAAATCAGTAATGATTTGGCCACCGATATCGAAGTGTTATCCAAAAGTACACTTCTCCAAATCCCCGATATTAAATGCGAATTACTGGTGACTACTAATGACGGCTGCGAACTCTTGTGGTTTAATCCGAGTATTACGGTTAAATACACATTATAATATATAGACTCTGGCTTATGTTGATAATAAATCTGTAATTTCTTTTGAAAATTTTTTTATTTAATACATTGTTTGAGATATGATATATTAACACTGGTTATTGTAGCTATTTTATGCTTGTTATAAAACTTTTATTTATTTTTTATACAATACTCAAGGATTAATTAATTTGCAAACTTAACTTTACACATAATTATTTATATCAATAATAACTAATTATTTTTAGTTTGTTACAAAATTTCAAAAATTTCCTAGCCCTATGAATCGGAAAAGAAAGCTGGTTGATGATAGAAGTTATGAGTTAAGTGGTAAGATAGATGAAGAGCAATTGCTTCAACAACTTAGAGTTCTAACCAAATCTGAATTCCTTTCCGTAGTTCCCAATGGATGTTATGAGCAATATAGAATAAAATATTATACAAATATTTTTATAGAGTGCTTGGAAAAATTTAAGCAAAAGCTTTGGTTTAAGGAGAGGTATCTTTCTGGAAACAAATATGATGGTAGGTTTGATTTTGTAAATAACCTTGAAGATAGGAGTCAAGGTTCTTGGTATCGTATTCAGCATGTAGTTGAATCGACTAGTGAAGTGTTTGAGAAGTATGCAAATAAAGCTGATGAAATGCATGTTTGTCAGAATGGGTTTGATTATAATTTTGAAAGGGACTTGTACATATTAAGTAGATCTCCTATTGAAAATTGGAAAGGTTTTACGCTTTCTTACGAAATTGTTGATGATAATGAAAATTTCAGCGAAAAACAACTGAAAAGTGTGTATAGAAATTTGGAATCCATGGGGATGAAGCTTAAGGAATCGGTAGAGATAGATATTGAAAATTTAAATGCCAAGGAACTTACAAAACAGCTAAGAAAAGACTTCTTATATTGCACAACTTGCAATATTAGGTTTGATTCAAAAATTCAAATGTATGATATTTGTGGTTTTTCTCATGAGAAGACATTTCCATCGCATAGAACCCTAGAACTCTTTATAGACTTGTTCAAAGATGGACAATCTTTACTTGATTCCTTAAAAGAGTCTTCATCATGGCTAAAGCCATACTTTCATAGTTCTCGTGATGGAATAAGATGCATGGAGTGTCATAAGTTGTTTGAAAGTGAGGAAGGTGCCATGAATCATATTGTGGGTGTTCATACCGAACTGTCGGATGAAATCAATAGTTTAACCAATATAGCCAAAAATATGGACTTATTTTTGCTGTCATGGATTGATGGAACAATTACGAACGAACAGTATAAAATAAGCGAATATAAGTATACACCATGGTTTGGTAAATTGAAGCCTGAATATAACATGGTGAGGTACAATGTTCCACAGGTGTATTCTGGAAATTTGGAAGAATAAACGCTTTTGTGAAAACTTTTTGTTCATTTTTTAACCATCACTTCTTATTGATATAAATTAAATTTTCCAGTTAATTGCTTTTTTTTGAAAATAGCATAAATAGAATCCTATTTGTTTGTAATATCATTAACTTGTCAATATTTTTGTTAATAAGTGCTGGATATAATTACAGCATAGTTGATACCAATTTATTTGATAACTAGTCCTCATAAAATAGTGTTATTCGGGTGATTTTCAAAGTCTTTTGGAATCATCCCAAATAATTTCACAGGATTTGTTACTTTGATGATTCTTTTAAATTTTAAATATATTAATTTGTTTGTACTTACCCATGGAACATATTCGACCTAAATCAAGAAGAAGATCTACACGTTCAAAAACAATTATTATAGATAGGAATTTGCTCAATGATACCTCTGATATAGAGATAACTCAAACAGTAAACTTATATAACCAACCCAAAGCTGAAAATTCATTAGTTAAGGGATTTGGATTTGTTAGGGACTCGACAATAAACGCATTTGAAGAAGAGTTAACACAGAATTTTGGTACAATACACAATAATACACATAGTGGGATGGCAGGATTTAGAGGAAGGAGTGATGGTATATATCTGAATGGAATTGATATTTTTGAAGATTTGCCGAGGCCTGAATCCACATTAAATGGATTGTTAGTAGACAATACTGTACATTCTCAAGAGCATAGAAGTACTGAATTTTTCAATAATTTTGCTAATCAACAAAATATTCATATGGAAATTAAAAAATCAGAAAACGATGGTATTGTACCACAAAAACGAAATGTAGTAGATAATTTTGAAAATGATGAATTTTCCCAGAATAATAGCAATACAATATCAAAATCACTTACAGATGGTGTTATGGGATCACACGCTTATAGGAATAAAAGGCAATCTGTTTCTGATGACAAATTATATACTTGGGAATCTGAAGAGTTATATCAGCGAACCTACAACTTTGGAGAGCTAAAGAATGCTTTCCAGAATATTGAAAATGTTGCTCAGTCTAAACGAACTGCTGATGCTACTTGTGAAATAACAAATATTTTAAAGCGTTTTAAGTTGGATGATAATAC